CTTTTTCTGTTTTATTAAACATTCAGTTTCTTCTTGTTAGTGGTGTGCTGATGTCCTGTATACCCTTTTGGGTAGGATAGAGTCCCAGGTGGGATTGTGGGTCTAAGGCAGTATTCCATTCACTGTACCCACTAGACTATGAATATACTCATTTTTATTCAGCCCTGTAACACTTGCCCTTAATTTTTGACAAATTTTTGTACAACAGACAGTATTCTACTACTGTTTAACATTTATTTCCTTGATAAATAATTAGATTTACCATGTTTTCATAAACTGGTGCTCTTTGTATTTCTTGTGTGACTTTCTTTGTGTGAATAGCCTTCAACAGTTTTTCTAATGGATTTTATTTTCTTCGCCCCTTTGGCGTACTGTTTGTTATTAGGGATGGTAATCCTTAAGCATTATATATTTTGCAAATGTGAAAAAATTATATTTTGACTTTTCCTACTTTGCTTTTTTCCATAAACATATTGTTATATTTTTACATGGTCTAATAGGACTCCTCTGTCACTCTGTGTTCTGTCTTTCTAACAATGCCAGCTTTAATAAAAATTATACAAATATTTAAATATCTTTGACTCTTTTATTACATTTAGAGACTTATTTATTAAAAGAGTTGACCTGATTGTATCTATAAACACAGTCAAAATGTGGTACCATTTTTACTTATGGTAGTTTGGATCACCCCCTTTTTCTTTAACCCCCCCTTAATTAAATCATGCAGTTTAGCAGAGAGTAATAGTCCTAATCTTTGAAAGATTTATTTGTACTTTCTGTAGATTGAGTACCATTTTTTTCTTGTAGCCCTACCCTTAGTCTACACTGTTCTCAAACATTCTCCTAACGTATTTCTTTAATCAAAATGCTATCCTTCTTGTAGCAACCAGATTCTTCTTTCCTTCTGCCTCAGTTACACCTTTCTAAAGCATACAGGTAGACCGAATTAACTCTGATCAATAAAATCAGCAGGGGAACAATGTGTCTGTGTAGAGAATTTTCTCCATAAGAAACTCTTACTCCATTTTATAAATGTGTATATGTGGGAGGCTGTGGGCCTGGCTGTTAATAAAGATTGGGTTGCCTGGGTTTAAATTTGGGTTCTAGCTCTTATTATCCTTAAAACCTCAGGAAAATTACCTAGCTTCTCTAGTGGTAACTTTTACTTTAACCAAATAGCTTAAAACTTGCTTACTGTGTACTAAGCATTTTCTAAGCACTTCACATGTATTAACTCTCAATCCTCACAACCACTCTAAAGTATCCCCCATTTACATATGATGAAATCGGGCTCCGAAAAGTTACCTAATTTGGACAAACTAGGAAAAGGAGGAGCAGACATAATAATAAGTTCATAATAAATGTTTCCTCCCTCATTCTTCTTTTCTATTCCCTTCCTCCCTTTCCTTCCCTCTCCTGGCCTTTCTCTTTCCATTTTGTCATTTTTCTACCTTCTCCTTTCTCCTCTCCCCATCCTCTCGTTCAACTCTTCACTTTATTTTGTTATTATCAGCATCTGTATACTTGCTGCTACCACATATTTAGGCATATATTCTAAATATGAACCTCCCTCTTGATTATCATATGTGACAAATCTTTAGCTCATTTACTAATCTCCACCCTTTTTGAACTCCCTTTGTCATTAGTGAGGACAAGAATGGTAAGAGTTAAATGTGAATACCAAAGGAGTCTACACCTTATGGGGAGTTAGGAACACTTTCAGTACTAACAAGTCAGTGCCTGTGGGCAGAGGATACCTGGAGGTGGTGTCCTTGTTTGATCTCTGTCAACAGTTAAACAGAAATGTGATCAGTGAGATATACATCCATACACCCTAGTTGCTAAGTGCAATCAGTCCCCACGGAGTTCTGAAAGTAATCTTCCCGTGTAAACTGTCTTTTCTATCTATGAAGTGTCATCCCCAGTAAGTACCTCTTCAGAATGCCCAGATACCATGGCAACCAATGCCTCAGACAATGAGATTGGCTTTTAATTGCAGTATCTAAAAGCACGTTTCAGGAGGTTTCAAAAATTAGTGAATTATGATGAAAAGCTGTCAGTATTTTAGTCATCTCAGCATGTATACCAGGTGTGATTTTGATATGAGTCTTCCTGGAAATAAGCATCCTGGTTCATTTCAAAAGCATGTATGTTATATCAGAGAAAATGATATTAAAAGATAAATGAAGTTAGTTTTCATCTGTGTGATTTTGCTTACCCTTTACTTTAATATTTTATATGAAAATAAAATGAATTTACATGATTGCTTTCCTTCATATTTCACATGTGAAAAGAGATCTAATTCTCTTTAAAATGGTATAAGGGATAAGGGGACAGACATTCTGCTGCCTTTATATATCAGTTTTTATGTTGCATTTTTATTTATTGTCAAAATCAATGATATTTGGAAACTGCCAGATTGACTCTAGATAACTGAGGGACTAAAATCTGTCAAGTAATGTAAGGTCAGCTTTGTTAGGAAGCTGCATGATTCAAACTATACAGAAGCAGAGTCCTAAGCTTCATGGCTGCTTTACATGGTGGAATAGGTTGGCTACTGACCGTACAGACGGGACTCCCTTGACTTCTTTGTGAGGATCAGTTCCTCACAAAGGATAACGAGGATGTTGGGGGGATGATGGCTCCCATCCCTTCCATCACAGTCTCAATCCCTTTGGGCTGCTGTAAGGAATACCACAGACCAGGCAGCTTATGAACAGTGACTCACTTCTCACAGTTCTGGAGGCTGGGAAGTCAAAAGATCAGGGTGCCAGCAGATCCACTGTATAGTGCTTCATAGATGGTCATCTTCTCGCTGTGTCCTCACACAGTGTAAGGGGCAAGAGAGCTCTTTGGGGTTTTGTTAATAAGAGCGCAAATTCCACTCATGAAGCCTCTACCCTCCTGGCCTTATCACCTCCCAATACCATCACATTGGGGGTTCAGATTTCAACATGGGAATTTGGGGAGGACACAAACATATCATTAGAAGAGTTAATATTCTATGATCCAATGAGTTTTCATCTGTATGTAGTTGAATGTTGGTAGGTGGAGACATTTTAAAGAAACTTCAAAAATGAGTGAATTTTTGCAACAGGGAAAAAAAGGAATTAATAATATATTTTCAGTCCTCATAGTGGTAAGGTATAAGGCATTTACCTAAATAAGTGTTAAAGAAGTTAAAAGTAGTAGATACGGTGGCAGGGACATTTTGAGGAGAAAAGTCTGTGGGAAAATGTTAAAACCAGGCAAGGTGATTTAAAAACCTACGTGCTTAATTCTGAAATAAACTGTTGTCTTTTGCACATGGTTGATACTCAGTGAGTATTTTTGGAATTAGTCAATTAATGTAAAAATTTTATTAATTACCAAAATTTTCAATAACCATTATTGGTTAACAAAAAAAACAAATAAGCGGTATGTGTGGCACAGTATGTGGTACAGCTTCCTCTTACCATTTAGTCCTAATATTAATATTAAACTGACCTCAAAGAAGAATTGTTGCCCACACAGATTAGGTTAAACCCAAGAAGTAATATTCCCAACTAAGTTAAGAGCTTAAAAAAATTGTACAAAAGAACAAGGTTAGAATTGGGTTTTCATATTCATCTTTATTAATTTTATCCTGAATGTATACATGAGGTGTTCTGAGTCAGATTTCTTATTGCCTGTTTCCATTGCTCTAGTTTTCAGTCCCCTGGTTCATGCAGTGACAGGCAGTTGTCCTGCGCCAGAAGCTGTGCAGTCCATAGGTGAAAGATGATCTGATTTTTCCCCTAAACTTATGAATTAGAAGGTGGCATTTGTGCTTCTCTTTTGAAAGGGTCTCTGGAAATTTTATGGGTCCAAATCCTAACCCCAACCCAGTCAAATCTGTCTGGGAGCCAGATAGCCCTGTATCTTGGCATTTAGGACCTAGAGATGTCTCCAGTTTCTGGGGCTTCATCTCTTTTGACATGTAATACCCAGGGAGATAAAGCTCCAGTCTCCCTTTAGTAAAGGGACCTAGTCTATTATGTAACTATATGATCCTCCAGAAGATAATGTAGAAGTTTCATTTTTCTTTTGAATCAAAACAATTAACTAGATAAATGGCTGCAGATCTAAATCTCATGGTATGTGAAGAATAGAATATTTATGGAGGAAATGGAAGCAAACATTCCCTTCTTTCTGTCACATACATTTCAGAGGCTCAGGAGGCTAGGAGTTTTTGCAGGAACACTGAGAAATCCAGGCAAGTTTCATTTCTCCACAGTTAGGTGTTTTAAGAGGGAAGAAATTCTACCATGTCAGCTAGTTGCTTTATGTAAAAATAATGAAGAATGGCTTATGCATGTAAAGTAGGCTTTCTGAAATGAATTCTGAATAAACACAAATGGCAAGGAAGAGAAATAAGATAATTATGGTACAATTGGAAACATCCATTTTAGGGCATCCTCTCCCTCTATTGAGTAACTGTGACCTTTGTAGCAATTCAAACCTATCTAGAAGACCCCTGTTTCTAGAAATATGCCAGTAGGATGTTTGAAAAATGTCTTCCAACTGGCTCCTGCTGTACCAAGCAAGCCTGGTCTACATCATCATCTGTTCTGTTCAGATCTGCTGAAAATTCTGAACTTGTGTGAAGGCACAATAGTTAAAGGTTTGTCTATATAGTAGAAGGTTAAATACAAAGATGATGAGTCTTTGTGTTAGGGTTTTTGAACAGGGAGTTTTTTAAGCCAACAATCTTCTTTAATCTTTATCTGTTTTTTTCAAACGAAGATAAGTATTCTTCGTTTGTGAGGCCACATGATGAATCAGCTGGGTATGTGGAGCTCCCCCAGTCAAACTATATTGAAACCAAGAGCATAAATCTGGAGTCCCAGTCACTCTAAAAGTAGACTTTCTTTTTCCCTTGGAAGGCGTTAGTTCTCTCTCTGGCCCCTATCCTCACAGTTTTAGAGGTTAACGAGTAAGTAAGCAGTCTTAATTAGTTGACTTGGTGCTCTTTCTTTCAGCTTTTTGCCCGACTTCATCAGTGGAGACTTTGATTCTATCAGGCCTGAAGTTAAAGAATTTTATGCAACCAAGGTAAACTGAAACCCTTTTATATTTAAGGTCTTTCTTGTATTGTTGCTTTTCCTTTGTTCTTTCCGGTTTCCTTGGCATCTGTGTAGAGATCGAGAAACTCATTGTTGCATTGTTTTTAAAAAACTGGAAATTATAATGTATCTTCAAATGAAATTTAGAAAATGACATGTGCAAACACTTTACATCAGGTGAGCATTAATGCCTAGTTCTTTAAACACGTATATGTTAAGTGAGCTAATAGTTTACACAGGCTCATGTAATAATATACTATTGTTGCCTATATCCTCGTGAGTTATTATATATTTTTTACAAGTCATTTTAAGTTTCATTTAAAGAATATAATGTATTTTACTTAACCAGTCCCCAGTTGATTTACATTTAAGTGGGTACATTGTTTTCTTTCATAGTAAACTAGTCGACATTTTTGTAAATAAATTCTTATAAAAATGCATAATTGCTTGTCCTAGAATTTTAGGACCACAGTTCTTTTCTTTAATATTTAGTTTTATTAAAGCTACTTTTACTCTTTTCTGAACACAACCATTCATTACAATTTGAAATTAATAGTAACAAAGCTTATTAAGGTGCTCATTTTATCACTGCTGTTGGGCAGATCTTCCAGAGATTCTTGCCAATTAAGTATATATAAATGATCTAATTGAGAATGATAAAAGACACATAAGAGTATATTACAGAAATTAATAATTCATGCTTTCGCTGGTTTTAGGGTCAGTGCAGTTTTTAAACTAAAAATTCTTCTAGCCACAATACCATCATCTGTGTTATTCTAAACTGGCATTAGCAAATTACACAATTTTTAAAAAGAAACAACAGTCGTTGAAATAATAAAACTTTAAATTTTGTGTAATATTTGGGAATGGACAATATAAATCCAAAAAGAAGAAAGAGGAAACCCTTTGTAGGAAGGAAGGAAAGAAGGGAAAAGAAGAGAAAATTAAAGAAATAAAAGGAAAACCTGATTCTAGGTGGGGAAACAGAGGTACCAAGGTCATAAGTATAGACTGGTCTGATGGGGAAATTCTGGGGCCGGCAGTGAATGATTCAGCTCTGCGTGATTCTCTCTGCCCACCAGCTGATCAGACTTCCCATCGCAGATGAAGACTGTTCCCAAGTCAGTGTTTGATATTCATGCTCAATTACTGTAGCATCGGCTTGTTTCTGCTCATTCCCCACAGTCTCACTTCTCATTAACTCCATTCCTCAGCCTCACTGGGATGGAAAGCCCTCAGCCTTGCTTACATAGCAGAGTTTTATAAATTCATAGATGTTAATCATATTTTCTGGAGCAGAAGAAACAGCAGGAGAGACAAGGACAAGCCGACTCAGAAACATGTCGACTATCTGGCCAGATGTGACCTCTCTCCCCTCTTCCATGCTGCTGGGTTGCCACGCCTGCAACGTGTCACTCAGGTCGCTCCTGTCCACGACGAGGAAATCACAGGAAAGGAGGAGAAGCCAGCTTTTTTATTTCTAAATGCAGTACAGTGGGGTCAAAGATAAAGGAACGTTTTGAGTTAATACCTTTTGATGAATTTCTCGTAATTTCTGCTTCACATTATTTTTAGCCTCAAAAGATAATTGGTATTTGTTAAGGTTTAGTTTTTAAAGGAAGACTAGCTGTGTCTTCTGACTCCTACATTGTGTAGCTGTAAGTTGATACAGTACAATCCAGCTTTGCATTGTTATCGATGCGAACTCACTACTTGGGGGCTTCTCGGAGTTGCTCCCGGAGGGCACTGATGCTGTCTTTCCTACAGCTAATGTGCCCTATATAACATGGTGAGTGCTGAGCAGCAGGTGCAATAATTATGATAATGACAACAAGTTAATGCAGCATTACACACAATTCATATAAGCCATTATCTCCAATTTAAGCAATCTGTAAGATGCTCTGTTAAAAATGAAAAGAGGTTATTTCCACTGTCAAATACACTTTTTTTTCCCCTCTCCCACCTGGTCTGGGTTTTCAGTGAAGCTGAAACTGGGCAGTAGTGAGGAAGTAAAGAAGAAATTTAAAATCCTTAAAGTTTGTTAAAATCATCAGGTGGATTCTGTAGCTACTATTTATTCATGTGAGTAAATGTTCATACAACCTTTTTTTCCCATAAAACTTATTTGTGACTTAGAGGAAAAATTCCAGGTTTATTGTGCTACTATACACTTTATATTGGATTGCCTGGGTAATTTCTCAGAACACTAAAATATAAAGTATTTAATTTGTCAGCTTTTAAGCAGAATGTTTTATACTCCAGATCTTCCCATCTATATTAGTTATCTGTTGTTAAGTAACAATAAAATTTAGCAGCTTAAGACAGCAAACAGTTTTTATCTCACAAGGTTTCTCTGGCTAAGGAATAGGTGAGTCGGCTAGGTTGTTCTGGTTTAAAGTTTCTCACTCAGTTGTCTCAAGGCTCAGTGAGGCTACAGAACTGTCTTCCAAGATCTTTCATGTGGTTGTTGGTTGGTCTCACTGGCTATTATTTCTCATTGGCTGTTGGTTGGAGGCATCAGTTTCTTGCCATTCGGCTGCTCACAATATGTCAGCTTGCTTTCCAGAGAGGGAAGGAAGAAAAGAACATGAGTGCAAGAGAGCTCGCCCAAGACAGATGTAGCTGTCTTTTTGTGACCTGATTTCAGCAGTGATATACCATCTTACCATCTCCTCTGCCACACAGACCGACCCTGGTACAATGTGGGATCAGATTACACAAGGGTGTCAATACGAGGAGGCAGGAATCTTCAGGAGCCATCCAAGAGGCTGGCTGCCATACCACTTGGCTGACTTTGAGCTGATAAAGCCCGAGTGTTAAGAAACAAGAAAGATGTTTCAGTAATGTCCTATGCATCTTGTTCTTCAGTTAGTAACATGTAAAAAGAAAGAAGCACAGCTATTAGCAATTTCACATTGATTAGATCTTTATATGCATAACCTTCAAGGTGAGTTAGACACCAGCAACCCAGTCACTAGTCTTTATGTCCATAGCCCTTGATTCTTTATTCCTTTGGATTTTGGACACATAGGGGCAAACTCTGGTCTCCCACTTAATTCCATATGGTACATAAGGTAGAAAGCAAGTATACGATTTGTACTTTTTGTTAACTAGTATGCACCAGTTTGGAAACTGCATTATTTCAGGGATGCAGTGACCTAACACTGCAGAAATACCAAAGTTGTAATTTGAAATTTCAAGTGAAGTACAACATGGCTTGTAACTATCAAGGTACTGTTTTCCATGCCAATAACTGCATTTCATTTATTTCATTATTAAACAGATAGATAGAACAAACATTGTTCATATACTCAGTCCAGCTGCTGTGGTCCACTTCCCTGATGCTTACTGTAAGCCATTCTTAATTTTCTCCATAAAGCCTTCCTTTTCAGATGGCTGTAAAATCTTTGTGTTTCCCCTTTTGCCCATTTGTCTTAGTCCTTCCCTGCCTGGTTCACTAACACTAACCCACAATGAAGAATGTCTTTTACAGATTTTCCCCTTGACACAAAATTTTTTTTTGCATTTTGAGTTAGCAATGCTTCCTTGATTGAAGGCTACAATCACCTAAATCATGCTTAATATTGAGGAGGTAAAGGAACTGGTCACAACCTTATTTAATGCCTTAAAAGGGCACAGAATAACAAGATTTTTTCCATAAATGGAGGTGCATAAGAGAGAAGATAAAAGTATATTGTAAATGTAAAATAACTTAAGATATGATGAGAAATTAATGTTTCTTAGCCCAATTTCCTGATGAGGAAACTGAGGCCCATAAAACTTAAATGACTTGAAGAAAATGGTGGTGCTAGTCAGAGATAGCTCTTGGGTCGATATCTCTGTTTTCTGTAAAAGGAATTCAGTTTAAACTGGGAGTCAGTTGCTGTAACTGTGTCAACAGATCACATCTTTGGCCTATTTGGCCTTTAGCATCCTTGGGAGTGAATGGCCGTATCACCACCAATGTGCTAAATTTCAGTGTGATACTCACTCTACTTCTACATTTCCACTGTGTCACTCCCTTTCAGCCCCAAATCTGGGTGGCAAGAGTCAGGGCGCAATAGTTCAGCCACACCAAGAAGACCCACAAACTGATAAATTATTAAATCATATAAAAACTATTTATAGGACACAGGTTTGAACCAAGGTAGAACATTGAAGAACTAAGGTAATTTGGTACCGGGAGATTAGCAAGGGCATGGGTAGCCAGTAAGGAATGCCTTCCTCTGCTACAGGTGAGTATTTTGGCATTCCAGAAAGTGTTGGCATCAAGGCCATGATCTAGACAATATGGTGAAAATGACCCCAGTCTTCAGGCAGGAATAGTACTCTAGATCCAAGTTCTCTTTACTAATCCTTCCAAGTACTGGGAGAACACAGTATGGTTTCATAACAATTGTGAGGATTACTGGCACACCGACTATGTCAAAGATTCTAGTAGCACCAAAGTTACAAAGGCAAGGCTTGATTGAAAAGGTCGACAGTGAACTCTGGTATAAATGATGAATGAGACTACTAGAAAGCTTCAGTTGATGCTGAACCACAGATCTTCTACCAGGATCATTCTAGGCCACCAGATGGTCCTAGCATTACATTCTGCAGTAGTGGAGAGAGAGATGTAGGCAGATTATTATCTCCTAGTCTTTCATTATATCTTTTTCTGAATTAAGAAAGATAAGGTTTTTTCTTAGGCAAGTACATGAATAATCAAAGAATATCTTTAATTAAATTAGTGTTTCTTGATATTTTTCTTTGTTATCTAACACTGACATGGCCATACCCAAATGTTTGAAGGCTTCTCTTAATAGGCAAGGATAATATATCTAAACTTCTTTAACCTGTGCTCCTTTTGATAAATATAAGATGCTATAAATTTTATATACAGTGGTAGAGAATTGCTCATGATTATGTATCATCATAATGGCTGTTACCTATATAAGTATGTTTCTGTTAAATTTGAGGAGACTGAGGATTTGGGCTTGAATGTGA